TTATTTAGTAAAAACAAACCTTGTGTGCATTTTTAGTGATCTTATGAAGTTTTATTGAGTTTAAAATATCTTGATGTAGTGGGAAGAATAGGATCTACTAGAAGAACACTCAGGACAAGAGAATCAACTAAGCTCAAAGCTTTAAACATATATAATATTCATCAATACCTTCACTTCCTTACAACTAATATATATAAATGCAATAACATTATAGAAAACTAAAAGAAAACATGTAATAAAAGGCATGTTAGTTCTAAGAGCTTATTTAGCTAATGATGTTCCACATCAGATCTTATAATAACTTAGTCAAACTTGTAATAAATTATATATCTCCAAACTCATTTATTGCTACCACAATAAAAAAAGTCATCCAATAAAGTATATAGCATTCCACAACCACATGCAAATAGAGAGAAGAGGGAGAGGGTGGAAACCGGGTTGCAAAGTAAGTTGCAAAGGGAGGGAGGGTGCAGCAAGTTTCAATTTGTTAAAAGAAAAAGCTTAAAGCCACAGTAAGAAAAAACAGTCACAGCAGAAAATGAAGAAAGTAATAACATCACCAACCATGTCTTCTTTTTCAGTTTGAGCCTTTTATTATCATAGTAAATAGTTACATTATCTATGAGTAATAACAAAAATAATTAATGCATCACTTTTTAAAATATAGCAAAAATACTTGATGCTTGTAATCTACACTATTTGTTCTATAATCTCCATTTTACTTGAAACTTTTACTATCTTAATATTTGAATGAAAGCAATGGCCTGGAAAGAAGCTAAATAGCAAATAAGAGTAGAAAAATATAAAAATTTAAAATAAAAATCCATGAAGGGCCTTGGTGGCCCGCCCCTCGTCGGCAAGGAAGGTACGTGATGACCACCCGAAGTTTTTTGAAGGGCCAATCTCTATCTCTAGCAAGGATTCTAAGGGGGCAAGAACCATTCTTGGATAGCTCATTGTGCAAGCCCTTGAAACTGCGTTTTTGGTGGAAGGCATCGACGAGGAAGGTCTTGTGCCACCGCTCGTCGCCGCCCATCGGCTCAATTATAAGAGAATGAGACCTGTTGCCAGCTAAGAGAAGCCGAGTCGTAGGAGATACGGTGACTCAGCTGTGGATGGAGATGTGTGAAGAGGATAATCGCGACCGATACTTGACGAAACACGGCAGTGCGATACCAGCGCCAAAAGTGGGCTTTAGTGCTTGAGTCTTCAGGGTTTTCATTGACGGGATAAAAACTACGCAAGAGCTCTTAATCCTTTAGCCATGCTTTGATTCTTGAAGTATTGAGTGAAATATATAAAAAGGGGGTAAATTTTGATTATTTAGGTTTTGTTTGAGAAAACTTTTTTAATGCTTCTTAAAATAGCTTTTTGGTACATAATTTTTAAGAAACAACTAGAAAGCCTTCTCAAACAAAGCCTTATTTATTTAATTATGATACTTCTTATATTCTATTTTTAAAATATTACATAACTAACTTCATACTCACTTAACCCTATAGTTATTTTTCTCTCTTATGATATATTTTATCAAGAAAGTTATAATAAAATTTGATTTTTAATAAATAAAAAACTATTTTTTCAACTACATGCTAAAAATTATAACTTATTTACTTACCCTAAATTATTTAAATACATAGCATTTTATATTATATGTGTAATGTGTCTCAGTGTCTTATAATTTTCATAATATAAGAGTTATGTGTTCATGTTATATTATGTTCATATTATGGTCATAGATCATTTCCCTCAACATGCTTGTTCTCTTTATCAAGCTTTGTCACCCATTCAACTATACACTGATAAGAGCATTTCAACATCAGCACTTCTCCACTCCAGCTAACACGCTGGCATGCTGTGCCACTGGTTCAGCTGACTGCTTTCTATTATGTATTATTGCTTTATGCTTTTTGTGACTAACCAGGGCAATTTGGTCATTTCAATTTTTTGCTAGTAGTTTATATATATATATATAAACATTGCTACAATAAAATATACACAAAGAATGTTATGTTCATCTTCCACAAAATATTTTCTATCTCTGTTATCTGATGTTTTGTCCTTATGTACCTCTTGTGTTATGGCAAAAAGTCACATGCTCCCATTCTCTCCTTCTCAACATGTATCTAAGTCTCCTTTAGAATTAATACATGCTGATGTGTGGGGACCTTCCCTTATTTTATCTTTTGATGCTATCCACTATTATTTACTTTTGGCAGATAACTACAACAACTACTCTTGGGTATATGTTCTAAAACAAAAATTGGTTGTCATTAATGTCTTCCTTCACGAAAAAATGGGCAAAATAATCTACATGTCCCAACCATAAGATTTTCAATATCCTCACTTCCCAAACCATGTTTGTCTTCTTCACAAAGTCATTTATGGCCTCGAATAAGCCCCTCGATTATGACTTGCCACTCTTTTTTCTTATCTTCTAATTCAGCACATTAAAATTAGCACTACTGATCCCTCATTTTTTCTCATGCATAAAAACACCATCCAAGTCTACCTTTTAATCTATATTAATGATATTCTCATCATCGAAAACGATCCAACCTTCATTTCATCTCTCATTCAAAATCTCCAATAAAAATTTCAAACAAGAAATCTCGGTCAATTCACTCGCTTTCTCAGCATTGACATTGCCTGATCCTCCTCCAGCTTTCATCTCTCACAGACCTCCTACATTCAAGAACTTCTCTCCATGACTGCCATGATCAATTGCAAGCCATTAACCACACCTCTACCCTCCAAATTGCCCTCCGATCCCACAGTACAGCAACCACATAGCCAATCTGCTCTCTTTCGCCAACTTGCTAAATAATTGCAATACTTATACTCCACACGGACAAACATAACATTTGCTGTCAATAAACTTTGCCAACACATGCATCAACCATTGCTTCTATACTATCAACTTATTAAATGTATTCTCTGCTATCTACAAGAAACGCTGATCAACTATGGGTTATTTCTACCAAAAACTTACCTTCGCCTCTCTGCTTATTTGACTCCTACTGAGCTGGAGATTCACTTGGCCAGAAATCCACCATAGGATTTTGCATTTATCTAGATCAAGCATTAATCACTTGATCAGTTAAAAAATAATCCACAATTGTCAGATCTTCAACGGAAGCTGAATATTGCTCACTTGTTGCTACTATCGCCTATATTATTTGGATTGTCGTCTATGTCAGGACTTCAGCCTTTCCCTGGATGCTACACCTATATTTTGTGATAACATTTATGCTATGTCGATTGCCTGTAACTCGATCTTTCACGTCCGAGCCAGGCATATCGAGATCAATCATCACTTTCATCCGTGACTGCATTCAGGCCAAGCATCTCGTCGTGCATCACGTTTCAACCTTAGATCAAGTTGCCGATATTTTTACAAAGTCTCTATGATCTGCCAGGCTTCAACATCTTCGCAACAAGTTAATGATTGTACCACCCATCAACTTGAGAGACGGTGATAAGAGCATTTCAACATCAGCACTTCTCCACTCCAACTGACACGCTAGCATGCTGTGCCACTGGTTCAACCAACTGCTTTCTGTTATGCATTATTGTTTTTGCTTTTTGTAACTAACCATGGCAACTTGGTCATTTTCTGTTTTCTGCTAGTAGTTTTTATACATATCTAAACATTGCTACAATAAAATATATACAAAAGAATATTATGTTCCATCTTCCACAAAATGTTTTGTCTCTGTTATCCTATGCTTTGTCCATAAGCTTCTTTATACCCAAGATTGGCTAAGAATTTATTTGGCCTTTTGTGTACATAAATACCTCTCCTTAGGGTTGTAAATGAACAGAGCGTTCGACAAGCTACTTGTGGATCAACTACATTATTGCTCATTCATGATCATTTGCTCAAGCAATCAAACAAGTTGGAACAATTTTTAAAATAATTTATTGTTAAATAAACAAACTTGATAAATTATAGGTTCGACTCATTTATATTCATGAACAATATGAATAAAAGATCGTTAAGAAGCTCCATTGAATCTTTATTTTGTATATTTTCACATAATTTTTAGTTCATTATAAAAAATGATTTTTATTTGATAAAAAATAAATTTATTTTTTTATATTTGTCACTTTTAATAGAATGAATTTACTCGTGAGCAAGAGGTATTGTTCATATTTGTAAATTTGTTTGTTTAAGAAGTTTATAAATAAGTTTGTTTGTAAGATGAATTATTTTTCAAGCTCATTTATTCATGAACAAGTTTGTTTCTTAGCTCAAAAACACTCACTATATATGTTTGTAAATTGACTCTGATAGATTGAAACATCATTAGCAATTAACAGTTTTTTATTACTTTTTAAAGAAATTTTGTAATATATATTTTTTTTAATTAGAAAATTTTTAGTATAAAAAGTTATTTTAAAAAACAGTTAGAAAATCGTCCCAAACGAAGCCTATGACTATATTTGGAATAGGGGTGTCAATTCGGGTCAACGGGTCGGGTTCGGGTCGAACATGAAACTGACCCGACACTATTTGGGTCAACCCGAATCCGACCCTTTTTTAAAAACGGGGCAGGCTTTCGGACCCGAACCCGACCAGATTGGGTCCGGGTCAACCATACCCGACACGAATGACCCAAAGTTGACCTAAAATTGATAGTTTTCGGGTCAAAAATCGGGTCAATCTTCGATTTTCGTGTCAAATCGAGTAAAAAACGGGTCAATCTCGGGTTTTCGAGTCAAATAGGAGTTTTCGTGTCAATTTCAGGTTGCTTGGTCAATCCGAACCCGACCCCGATTTTTAAAACGGGTTAATTTGTTGAACCCGAACCCGACCTATTTCAGGTTCGGATTTTTTCAGGTCGGGTTCGGGTCGTGTCAAAAATTGACACCCATAATTTGGAATGGCTTTCTTATTATTAAATAAATCAATTTTTTAGTAAAAAATTTTATTTGTGTATTAGAAAGCTGCTTAAGCAGTAGCCGTCCCAAAAGAAATTTTATTTGTGTATTAAAAGCGGGGCCGGCGGTTTTTGGTTTTACTCGCTTGATAAATCTTCACTCCCGTCGTCACCCATCCCTAAAACCCTAGGTCGTTCTCGATTCCTTGCAAACCAATTCCGCATGGCGCTTTTGATCCGCCTCCGCCGAGCCGCCGCCCTCACCTCTTCAATCCTCAAAGATTGTTCCTTTTCCTCCACTGCCTACCACTCTTCTCATTTTCCTCTCTCAAATCCCCGCTGCCCTACCGCGTCTCCTCTGGGAAACCCTAGTTTTCGAATCCCCTCGCTGATCCCGTCTTCGTCCTTCCACTCTTCGACTCCGTACTCTGTTAGGCGGGTTGATTCTGACCAGGGCAGTAAAATACCGGAGGATGAAATTCTCTTCGAGGGATGTGATTACAATCATTGGCTCATCACTATGGACTTTCCCAAGGATCCGAAGCCCTCGCCTGAGGAGATGGTTGAGACCTACGTCCAAACGCTAGCTAAGGTCGTTGGCAGGTGAGGCCTCTTAGTCTCTTATATATGGTATAAGACTATGGCGTCTGTTTTTGCAGGACAACTTGTTCATGTTCTGGTACTATTTCATTTTGATAGTTCGTTCTATGCCTCAGGAAAATGTCAGTTTAAATTTTAATGGAGTTGAGATTTTTTGTATTGGGACTTTTTTCTTGAAAGAATTTGTGGGAGGTGGAGCTATTGATAATCCAGCTATAACATTCTTCTTTACATTGCCGTTTCTTATGAAGACTAAGGCTTTATTTGGGACGGCTTTCTTCCCACTTCTTAAAGCGGCTTCTTAGCACAAAAATTAAATTTTTGTGCTAGAAAGCTTCCTTAAGAAGCAGTAAGAAAGCTTTCCCAAATGAAGCCTAAGTTGAGGTAGGGAGTAACAAGACAAAAACATGGTTAGGAAAATCAGTAGCTTTAGTTTGCTTTCCCTGCAACTACAACTGCAACTTGGTTATTCATTTCATCTGCTTGTTTAGTAGTTATAAATGAAATGCCTTTATTTGTTTGTAGGGTTAGGTAACGAACATTGTATATTTTGCAACTTTTGAATGGGATTTTCTTCTTGATTATTCATGTGTGTTATAATTAAAATGTTCATTTGGAAATGAGATAGGCCCGCTTTACTTGTCTTCTCTAAAACAAGTGATCCGGACTAGAATAACAAGGATTGGGCACTTGGAAGCCTGAGCAGTGTCAAGGTTTGAAGTATGATGTAGGCAGGTTGATTATATGATGTGATGAGATTTTTTTTCATAGAACATGTAGAAAGTATGTCATAACCCCCACAGCGATTCAAAATCTTTCTCTGATGAAACTATAATGTTTTTAAACATATCATGGTTAGATATAAACCCTTTGTTCATGTTAGGTGTAAAGTCACCTATGTTCAGAAGGGTTCGTTATGTGCATTGATCCATTACTTGACACTGGTATGATGTATCTAGTGGCATATGGATATTGTTGCATAAAAGACAACTTTTTTTTTCCGGTAGATCCATCATTTGAAAGAAGTGGTTGCCCAACTGAATTTTCTAAACTTCTTCGGAGTTTATAGGATAGTCTAAACCTAATGATGTAAATGCAAAAGTAGGATGACTCCTCATGATGACAAAGAGCATTGTTTTGGCTTGGTGATGATGAATTTCCCTTGAGTTTTTTTGGTGGTTAAAGGAAGGGAGGCTTGTATTAGAAGTCCCTTAAACATAGAAAGGAGAAGGAAAAGTTGATTGTAAGAGAGAGGGGATGAGAGATGGATAGATAGATGAAATATATAAGCAAGAAGGAGAGAGATAGGAGAAGAGGTAGTATGGACGTTGGGGATAGAGTTTTGAGAGTTACCTCTATTCAAAATATTTTGTATTCATCATCAATTAATTCTCTTACAAGCATAATTTATTTATAATGGGATTTTATGCAATGAAATCACAAAAGGAAACAAACTATGCACAATTAAAATAAATTAACAGTGGATCTTTCGTTAAAAAGTATTTTATGAAATAATCTTTCAATAAAGAAACTTTCGATTATATTTTTCTTAGATGAATAATTATACTATAGTTAGATATGATATGTCTAAAAATGGTAGGTCTAAATAAAGCTGGTGATGACATGTCAACTGATTGTTTCCTACGTCACCTAACATGCATGGCTAAAACTTCACATTATAGAAATTTAGATATCATACTTTTATTCCAAAAAAAGTCGAGCATGGGAGGTTTAGTATCCTAAGTGGAGTTTGCCTGTCAGGGAGTACCTTGCATGCATGTATCTTTGTCCAGTGTGGAGTTCAATTTTGTAAGTTCCGCCCTTGCATAAAGACATTTGTTTAGCTCCTATTTGTTAACGACGAATGAAGAACTACGGTGCAAAGTTTCCCATGGAACCATGGCGCATAGCGTGACATGCGTCATTTAAAAAATAATTGTAATAAAAGAGGTATAAATTATTTGTTAGTGCTCATCAAATTTTCTTGAGTTTTACGATAGAGATTGATAAGGCTTGCAAAATCAGCATAATCAAGCACTAATTTCTACTTAATTTTTTAGATTAAAAAATACTCGAATTGAATTTCAATACTTTTAAAAATAATTTAGAAGTCATTCAAAGTTCAATTAAAGATTATAATCAACATGATGCATTTTCACAAGACAAATCCAACTAAACTAAAATCATTTGAATTTGATCGCATACCAAGAAATGCCAAACTTGATTAGATCAAATTGAGCTGGACCAATCTTGGTCGTTCAAAGAAAGCCGACCCCAATTGGACATTGAGCATGATAGGGACTACTTCGGCAAGCTTCTGACTTTTGATTTGAGAGGGAGGTCTTCCAATCGAGCGAACAGGAAAGAAAGATCGTTACCTTAGCGGAAGAAAGATCATTACCTTTCGAACGAAGAGAAGAGAGTCCACTGTATTTGGCGGAAGCAAAAATAAGCAAAATGATGTAGGGAAGAAAGATTGTTACGTCAATGACGAAATTCCTATGTGACCTCCAATCCAACAAGAACGCTTCCATCGAAGGAGGCGACAAAGCTTTTACCCTTTCATGACCTAGTGACGAAGAAGAGAAGAGAGCTTCTTACCTTCGACGATGGAAGATAAAAAGAGATGTAGAAAGATTGTTACCTTAAGCCAGAAGTAGGAACAATGCGCATAGGCGTAGGAGGGCTTCCTTTGTGACTTCAGAACATGTTCGTCAAAGGAGGTCCAACTGACTCCAGCATGCAGCAAGCAAATGAATAAAAGGCTAATAAAAACCCTAACTAAAACTTGTATATCTTATCAAATAAATTTAAATGTTATTATTATATTAATTTAGAAATTAAAAATTTTATAAGTACTAAAAGATCTTACAATTATAATAAAAATTCTAAACAAAATTGCGCGCGCTATTTATGCCATGTGCCATGAGTCATGACACACATGGCGCAAATAGTGCACGCCATTTTGAGCATTTGCATCGCGCCATACTGATGGTGTTGTATGTGCGTTATGTCGCATCGTGCGTCACAAAACGCGCTATTTTGTGCCATTGACATGTATGGTTTAGCCCCATGCAAGAGACCTAACCTCTTACGCTTGTATGGACCGTGGATGCGGATTTGCGTGAATCATACATCTTGTTACACCTTGACTCGGTCTAAGTTATCCTTGAGTCTTGACTAATAATCTAAACAAACTTCCTTCATAAAAACAAAGCAAAGAAGCCTTTTAAGCTCATTGTCAATCGAATGCCATTCCAATATCATAGAGAAACTTCAAAGAGTCATCTTCAACTCAGGCACTGGGTCAAGCTCTGACATCTTAATTTGCTGTCTCAAAGGATGACTATGTTGATATAATGGGAGTTCTTGTGTGTTGGGAAGATCAAGGTTGAAGTTGTGCTTAGTAAAGCTAAAACATGCTTTCTCCATGGCAAACAAATCAAAGCAAGCCTCTGCAAGTTCATTGTCATTACAATATCTTGCAAAAACGTCAAAGAACCATCTCAAATCAGAGCATTGGGTTAAGTTGTAACATTTCAGTTTGCTACTTTTGGGAGGATGATTATGCTGATCATTTGGAAATGTTTGTGGGTTGGGAGTATGAAGGGTAGACCCCATATTAGAATATCTCACGACATGTACAATGATTTACTTTAAAGGAATACTTTTTGGGTTCTTTTGAGGAAGTTGACATGTAAGGGGCAATTAATTTGTCCCTGCAAATTCATTGATTAGATAAGCTCTTGCCATTCAAGCAGGAGTGCCGAGATTTGTATTTTCATGATCTCCATGCAAAAGGGATAGAGGAAGACAATGATCCCTTAGAATCAATACCATCTAATCTTGGTAACTCTTCAATACAGCCTTTTATGAATCAATGCTAATCACGAAATCTCAACTTGAATCTAATGATCAAACTCATATTATTTATAGCATCAATCTCAAAGATATATCAATGACTCGATTCGGAATCTCCAGCAACACTAATCTCAAAAACCTAAGGCATCCATTTTCAAAAAAATAAAAAACCCCAAAACCCAAGGTTTCCATATATTTGTTGATTTCCCTAAAGGATGGTAAAACTTCAATCTTCAAGATGAGGTGTCTTGATCCATTGTCATTCAATCAATCTGAGAAGTAAAATATCCCTCACCTAAGGGTATTTCTATTCAGTACTGGTTTTATTGATGAAGCATCTCCCCCATCCTTATCTACCTTGCGAAAGAGTATCAAACTCCCCCATGTCCAAATAACACCAAAATATCCCATAGCGTATGGTCAAAGAGGGGATTCCAAAACTTTGTTATTGTTTGTAGAAAGCTCTGTTGAGCCATCATTTTCTTCAAAAACGTCTTCCTGAGTAAATGCTCAATGCGGTGACTCAGGTTTTCTTTGGCTATTTCTGTGCTGGAAGCTGGGCGATCTTTGTGAACATATCCTAGGGAGTTGTAACAATGTCAAATCATTTCGAACATTCAAAAGTACTATATCATGAAAAAAAAATTTGTTGATAATTAATGGCACGTTTTATATAACTTTAATAAGGCATTTGTGGTATATTGGGCATTGGGTGGCTATAAAAAAGTCACTAATTACTAAGTTGAGTGTCATAAAAATGATAATATTAAGATATATGTGAACGTGGAACCAGGCAAGATAGGTTAAGACGATTATGTTAGATGGGTGATGGGATAAATATTTATTGTTGATATGACAGTAGAAAATTCAGTTAAGATGGCGAGAAAAAAACTCAAGTGGTTTATACATGCTCAATAATGGTAGAAGATGCATGAATTATATATAGATGTATAAATTTAATATTGAACGATTAAGAAGGAAGAAGATTAGAACAATGGACATAAGTAGAAATTGTGTGAATGGCTTGCACAAAATAGGTTTGATGTTATGTAACACTGAAGAAGAATAAAAGGATAATGCGGATTCTTAAAGTTTACCTCATTTATTTCTTTGTAATGTGATTCAAGTTCATTGTGTTTTATTTTCTAATTTCCTGTAATTTGAACTTTAGCTTAAACTTTTTTAACCTTTAAGCATAATTTTTTATTACTAAGAATAAACTGTATGCTTTCCCAGAAACAAAGCTTATCTAAAGGTGTAAGTTGTGAAGTAGTATTGAAATTTTTCAAAGGAAAATCATGTTGTATTTTATTTTTTTTTTAATTTATTATTCTATTGTTGATAAATGCTGTTGTAAATGAAGTGTTTTGTGTCAATTGTATTTCTTATTTATCAACAATGCTTGGTTCCAGCGTGGAGGAGGCAAAGAAGAGAATGTATGCTTGTAGCACGACTACTTATCAAGGTTTTCAAGCAGTAATGACTGAAGAGATGTCCGAGAAGTTTAGAGGTGGGTGTTCTTGGTGTTACTATTTTCTAGTTTAATCAAGTAGGGGTTGTCAAAGCTATCTTAGTCTATAAAACTAGATACACTCTGATCAGTCAGGTCACGAGCACCATTTTCTTTTCTGCCTGTAAATAGTCTTGTTTGCTGGCCTGAACCTTTTTGGAGTTTTCTAACGGTCTTTGCTTCTCTAAATTCAGGCCTGCCTGGAGTTGTTTTCATTCTGCCTGATTCCTATATTGATCCAGTGAACAAAGAGTATGGAGGTTTGTTAATTTCATTTAGTTTATCCTCTACAACTTCATTGTTATTCCGTTAAACATGGATGCTATTTTACTGAAGACAATTTTCTGCAGGGGATAAGTATGATAATGGAGTTATTACTCCACGACCACCACCTATTCAGTATGGAAGGCAATGGAGATATGATGCTCGGAATAGGGGATATGGCCAACCAAGATACGAGAGGCAAAGACCTCCGTCTCCAATGTATGGAAGAGATCCTCCACCTCAAAATGAGCATCAACAAATGCATCAAGGAAACCCAACGGCTAACTACCAAGGTTCAAATCAAGGATATGGAGGAAATTATCCTCCACGGCAGAATTATGGTCCTCCTGGGCAAGATGGATGGAGGAATTATGGTCCACCTGGAGACATCCAGAAGGGATATTCGCCATTGCAGCAAGGTAATCCACAAATGCAGGAAGGCCACCCACAGATGCAACAAGGATATGCCAGAAATTATGGTCCCCCACAAAACTATGGCCCTCCTCAAGATGGACGGAGCTACGGTCGACCCGGCGAAACACAACAGGGATACTCCCCAGTGCCACATGGAAATCCACAAATGCAGCAAGGGAATCCACAGATGCAATCAGGAAATCCACAAATGCAGCAAGGCTACCCAAATGTGCAGCAAGGGAATCCACAGATGCAACCAGGAAATCAACAATATTCTCGCAATGGTTTTATGCAAGATGGAGGTGCTTATCCTCCTCAGCAGAATTATAGTCCCCATGGAGATAAACAAAGGGATTGAGATGGCTAACTTGGAAGTTAGGAGTTCGGACAAGCACAATAACCAGAGGCTGGTTCATCTAAAGGTACACTCTTTCAGATCAAAATGAATGAAAGTTATGTGTCTAGGAATTCCTAGTTTTTCTATGTAGTGTTTGAATATGTGAGTTATTTCACCAGCAAGTACAGAATTGAGTCCAGATAAGCTTGAACTGCCTGCTGATTCTCTTTTTGTTTGGGTCCTCTTTATTGAGTTTTATGAAACTGGAATGTAATTTATGGTGGTTACTCTTTCTCAGTTTTTAAAAGTATTATTGCTGTTTGATTGTACTGGGCAGAAATCTGTAAGGAATTCATTGTATGAGATCCATCCCATTACAACTATGATAGCTAACAATAGACTATGATGAACTTCTATTTCTTTTGCAATCAAAAAATGTTTACTTGGCTGTAAACCAGAACATGCTTTCTCTATGGAAAATCATATCATGGTGCTGATGAATGAGCTCATCTATGAAAATTAATGAAGTTTAGAATTTACTGTGAAAAATAAAGGACTATCATTAGTTTGCTTCTCCTATCCTTGCATTTAACATGTATGTATGCTGAATATGTTTCTTTTTCCAATTCTCTGCGCAGTTTTAACACCATTCTAGTTCTCATTACTGTTTCATGGGTTTTCATCATATTTTATGAGTAACATGCTAGTAAGAAAACATAGATGTTTTTTGGAATTGCCTGCTTTCGTCTTCTCTCAAGATAGTTAGGCTTTGTTTAGGACAACTTTCTTACTACTTAAACTAGCTTTCTAGCACAAAATGCAGCAGTTCAAACTATTTACCATCGAGATATTGTTCACTTTGGCTTAAGAGCCTCATGGTTTTGTCTTGTTGGTGTAACTTTCTAGTAGGTCACTCATCATAGAATTGTTCTGGGATGAGCATGCTGAACTGCAAAATTTCTTAATGAAATTTTAACTATTACACTAAAAGGCGTCTCGATATTTAAGAGTTTAGCTACATTTACTTGAGGGGTTTCATAATCTGCCCCACTTATAACTGGTGTCTTCGTCTATGAGCTAGCTCCCGTCATGTAGTACTTTACCCCATACAGGATTCAAGCGGCAAGTACAAATCCTATTCATGAGAAAGAATGGAAGGACCATATGATAATGATTAGACTACAGAGAGCTACATAAGGTACTGAGCAAAAACATATGCACTCTTTCATGAATTAATGATCTCTTTAAGTAATTGCAATCTACTACATTATTCTACAAGATAGACTTTATGATATTATTCTATTAGAATTTTCAAATTATTAATTGAATTTAATGAATAATGTTTGTTATAGATAAATAGACATGTAAAATTACACAAAGCCCCTCCAATTGGCAGGAATTGTATTACCATGCTAGGCTACACATGACTAAGTTTTTTTTTTTTTTTGCAATTTTTTTATTGTATCCTTTATGTTAATCCAAACTATAGAATTTGGCAGCATTGATAAACCATATATGACCATGAATTATTAATACTTTATAATTGTATATGTTGCAATTTTCTATAGTAAAATATTTGCATTCTAATGTTATCTAGTTCAGAACTTTGTTACAGACAATATCTTGATAAAAGGATATTTTATAAAATTATTGTTTATGTTGTCTTTTATTATAAAATTTATTATCTTGAAAAAAAATAATCAATTATCTTGTTTTGGCTAATAAATATTCTATGAAATTGAAGAGCTGTCTTATTGTTAGATATAAAATATACACCTTATATTCAAATAGAAATTGAAAAAAAAAATTTTGAAAATTATTATATTTGCTTTGAGATTAGTGTAATATATAAAGAGTTTCTATTGCACTAATCTTAAAGTAAATTATATCAATACTTCTTTGATGCACGCATTTATCTAAACCCTTTCAATTGTCCTTCTAATTAAATATTTTAATTTTTCATTAATCTAAAGTCTTTTCCATAAGATTATAATTTCATTCATTTTATAGAAAATTAACTAGCTTTAAATTATCTTTAATTAATGTGTTAATCCTTAGGGATATGCCACTAACAAGTGAATTAGGCTTCATTTGGGACGGCTTTTTTATTGCTTTCTAAAATGAAGTTTTAGTACAAATTTTTTTTATTTTTGTACTAAAACTCCGTTTTAGAAAGCAATAAAGGATGGCTTTTTTATTGCTTTCTAAAATGGAGTTTTAGTACAATTTTTTTTATTTTTGTACTAAAACTCCGTTTTAGAAAGCAATAAAAAAGTCGTCCCAAACGAAGCCTTAGTCCAATGCTAAAAGTAATTAATCAATAAAAATATCCTCCTACTCCTAATCACTTAAATCTTATTTTAATTACCTGATTAGAATATGCTGAATTCCCTAAATAAATATTTAGAATAAAATGGTGTTGTTAATCAACATTAGAAGCTTCTAAAACTAATCATAATATGTAATGCTAATATAAATATGTAAGTGTTATTGATGAACTATGTAAGACTTCGTTTGGAACGGTTTTCTTACTGTTTCTTAAAGCAGTTTTTTAGTATAAAAATTAAAATGTTTGTACTAAAAAGCCGCTTTAAGAAGAAATAATAAAGTCGTCTCAAACGAAACCTAAGTGTTTGCAGATATTTTAAACTTGTTTTTTTCAAGAAAAAAAAAGCCTGAATTTATTTTTCTCAGAGCATTCTTTTAGTTCTTCAAGTCCTACATAATTAGTTGAAACCTTCTTTAATCCTTAGCCACTTTATGATACATTCTTTAATCCTTAGCCACTCAAAGATGTGGCATTGTGGATGCATGAATAATATTTAAAATGTGCGTGAATAGTTCTATCTTTATGATGACCCGTCACTTATTTTACTTTTTTTTTTCTTAAATTATTTTATTTGTTGATATGAATATATGATTGTATTATTTTTATTAATTAATTTAAAATCTATTGCTAAAAATATTTAAAAAAAAAGTTTTTTTCAAAAATTTAAATAAAAAAGTGTTATCGAGTTTAATTCGGATCATTCGGGTTGCTAGCGGGTCGGCTTTTGATCTTTATTTTTGGACTCTTTATTAAATTATTCTGGTTCTAATTAATTGGATTTAGGGGTGTAAGTGAGCCGAGCTCGACTCGTTTATGGGCTCGCGAGCTGAGCTTATCAAGCTCACGAGTCAAGCTCGAGCTCTTTTTGTAAACGAGCTCGAGTTTGAGCTTGATGAGGCCGGCTCGTGAGCTTGCGATCCTGCTCAAATAAATTTTAATATTTTTAATTAATTAAGTATTATTTTTATTACATTTAAATATTAAAAAAATATGGCTCGTTTAAATCTTAAAAAAAAAAGGGTCATTTTTTATTTTTTTTAAAAGATGGCTCATTTTTCATTTTCTTAAAAAGAAAAAAAGATGCTTGTCCATAGAACAATTCTCAAAACAAATGCATAAAACATTTTATTTTATTTCCAAAACTCTTGAATCTTGATGTCAAAAAACACAAGAGATATTTTTTTTATATATAGGAAAAAAATGAACGGGTGCCGACAAGCACCCCAAGGTGTCTGTAGTCACTGCGTATATGCTATAAACTTTGGAAGTCATATCAACGACGCAGTGCAGTGTGGCTGGCTCGCTTACCGAAAAATCGAGCGTGAAATGATTAAACCGCTTGGGCGGGAATTCAAAATTGAGTGGCTCGTCGTGCTCGTTTATGTTACCCGAGTCGAGTTCGAGCTAGACTCAACCTCGAGCTTGAGTTCGAACTCGGTGTTTGACTCACGAGTCGAGCCCAAATACCTCCTAATTTGAGCTCGACTCGACTCGTTTGCACTCCTAATTGGATTAGATTTGGTTCAACGAATTTAAGCCCTACCTAATGATCTATTTTGACACCATACATGTAGCTTTTTAAATAGGAACCAAATTAATTCATCCATAAAATTATTTTAATTCCTATTTAAAAATCAAGAGGCTAAAATAATATTTTGATATAATATATGATCATTTTGATATTTCATAAAGATTTAATATATCATTTGATCTTTAGCCGTTATTTCATAAAGTTATCAAAATAGATGTTAAAGTAATAATAGTCGAGAATTCGATGTGGTCACGTGCGTACCAGTGGCCTGCTGCACACGTGGAATATGGCCTTTGGGCCGTTGGAGGGCCAACCAATGCCTTGAAAATGGGACCCGAAAGCCGACCATATATTGCGAGCAGACGCCAGCCTGGCTGATGCCGGACAGTGGACGTGGAGTGAAGTCGCCGCACGCGGCTGACGTGGAAGGAAATCACTTCCCGTCCTTTGCAGATAAGGGGAAATTATTGACGTCCTCTCCGGAGTCCAATAAAAATACTTCATATCACCTTCTACTTGATATTGAGCTCGGTACTGAGCAGTATCAAGCAGTACCAAGCTCGATATTGCTCAATATTAAGCTCAGTACTGCTCGGTACTGTGAAGTACCGAACGTAAACTATGTCCGGTATCCGAACCCAATAATCTCCCGCAGATAAGCCCTTTATAATTGCTTTTATTATTTTTAGTGAAACAACTTTTATATAATAATATATTTTTTGGGAGTTTATAATAATAATTCAAATTCCTTTTCCGAAATTACGAAGTTAGAGGAAATTTGTTAGCATAGGTTTAAGATTTAGGCTTAGACTTCATTTGTGACGACTTTTTTACTATTTTTAAATCAATTTTTAAGTACAAAAAATTTACTACAAAGTTATTTAAAGAAGCAGTAAAAAATTGTCTCAAACGAAGTCTTAGGCTTCTATGGGAAGGTTTTTTTATTGCTTTATGAAGCTATTTTTACTATAAATTTTTTAAATTAAAAAAATTGTATTTAAGAAGCTGTTTTATAAAGTAGTAATAAAATTGTTCAAAACAAAGCCTTAATGAATTAAATACAAATACAATTTATTTGATTATATATATATATTTCTATATATTATATGTATGTAGAAGTGTGATGTCTTAAAAAAAATTATTTGATTAACATGATTTTTGAGGTAATATTTGATTAGGAAAATTTGAAATTAAATTTAGGATCATCTGAAATATGATTTGAACCTGCATATAATTGGATTGAATGTTGTGATGAGGCAAACATATATGCATCACAAGTGATTCAATTTGAATTCAAATGAACTCAAATTATGCACTTGAAATATATTTAGAACTCTTAAGATATTATTGAATGATCAAATGATCTCTGAATCTTTCACACTTAAACTCGAATTGAGTGGATCGAGTAGATAAATCCAATGATTTCAAGATCATTCAATTCTTAGGTCATTAAGAAACTCTAATGCTGTGAGTAATAAAAGTTGTTTTGATGGAATATTTTAGATTGTGATCAAACTTATCATATGTCTTTCTCAAAAATGGTATAAGTAGGATATGACATCATTTTCAACGTGATATAGTTGGTGGGCAACGGTGGTAGGAAGGGCCGTAGTTGGCGGACGAGTGTGGTCGAAGGGATCATAGTCGGTCAGCGATGATAGTCATAGGAATTGTAGTTGATGGGCGATTGTGGTCAAATAGATTGTAGTTGGTGGGTGACAATGGACAGAGGGATTGTAGTTAGCGAGCAATGGTGTTCCGAGGCCAGGCGGTGGTTTGGCGATGGTCGGGCAGAAGTCCGATGTCGGTTGACAGCTGAGTGGTAATATGGCAGCGGCCAATAGCCGGGCAGTGGTCTGACAATGGTCCAATTAATTGATATCCCTTTGTCTTTAAGGATGCCATATTTGGCTCGTTGGATTCGTTTCGTTAAGCCACTCGATTCGACTATAAGCATGCCATATTTGAATATCCCTTTGTCATCTGTTTAATGCTTTGAACCTTCTGAATATGTTTCAGACTCTTGATTCAGACCCATTTCGGCTTGGATCAAGTTGATTTTGGTGTCTTTGGATTCATCTCCTTGAGATGTTCAATATGACTATAAATTTGTTAAAATCAGAGTTCATATGATTCCAAATTTAAATTTGGAAGTTTTCAACTTGATATGCCTTGAGATTTGTGTCTGATCGAGGCAATTTTTAAGAATGCATCAATCCTCTTTAAAATTTATTTTAAGTTAACTATAACATATAAAAATTAAATAAAAAATATATTATATATGCTATAATAATGTACCATAAAGTTAAATCTAATCACGAAAGATCATAACAAAACTCAACTTAGAATAGACTCAACATATAATATCTCTCATCATATAATCATAATCACACATTAATAATTAAAAATATTCTATAAATAAATAAAGTTTATTATAATCACCTTAAAATTTACTTAAGCCTCAATTAAAATATTAATATCACCTATAGATTTTATTTTAGACATTTTTCTTATTATTTTTTTAAAATAAATTTTTAGTATAAAATTATCCACAAAACAGTAAAAAAAGCTGGCTCACCACCAGTCCTTCACGTCTTTATAAAGCAGGCGCATCCTTCGCTTCTCATTTGCTCTCTCTTCGCCTTTTTCCCTTCCCGCAGTCGCATTCGTTTCTCCGCTTCTTACTTTCCCTTTCTCTCTTTTCCTCTCGGTTTTCTATCGCTCGACGGCGAGAGTCATGGGAGATCGCGAGCTTATCTTCGTCGTGGCGAAAGCGGGGGTGGTTTAGGGAGTGAGGTGTTGAGGGATCGGGGGTGGCGGATGGCGATGGAGGATACGAGTAGTTGCAGCAGCGGAGCGGGGTCGGCGGCTGTGAATCCATGGCAGCAGCAGCGGCACAAGCTCGACGTGTACAACGAGGTCATCCGCCGTCTCCATGAGTCTGGAAATTCGGAGGCCTTTGATCCCTCATTTGACGACGATCTCTGGGCTCACTTCAACCGTCTTCCGGCCCGGTAAAGCTCTCGAGAGTAGATCTAATTCCGTCTGATTGATAATCAAATGGCGTGATGATTAGAGGGAAGCATAGATGTTGCTAGTAAATTGGTGTTTGGGTTACTCTCATTTGATGCAGATATGCATTGGATGTGAACGTGGAGAGAGCGGAGGATGTTCTAACGCATAAGAGGCTGCTGGAGATGGCCAACGATCCGCGGAACAGACCTGTTTTTGCGGTTCGTTTAGTTCAGGTAAAGATGGGTGATGTTTTTTTCCCTTTGAAATTTCGGCTTAGATTGATAAGTTTGTCCTGTCTCATCGGCCTGCTGTGTTGATTACTTGATTCTTTAAGTTTTAGGGTTTGCTTGCTGGGATATGTGGGTGGAGCCATTAAGTAGTAAGCATTATCTTTTCCTTTATTTGCCTCAATGCAGAAATCAAGTTTTAGAAGGACCTATATTCATATATACAATAAAGTAATTTCATGTGCATCTATGGGAGAATAAAAAGCAATAAAGTGTTATTTAGTAATTTTCATGCTTTTTTAGGATATTTTCTTATGGTGTTGTTAATAATTTGATGCAGAGTTGATCTGGTCTTAGTTCAAGATTGATTCAAAGCCGTTGGATCTGATCTAGAGCCAAGTTTTAGGTTCACCTGATCTGATTTTTGAGCGGTATTCAATCATTGAGTTTAATTTTCAAGGATAAATTAATAAATTATTATGCGATTTTATTAATTTGATCACTTAAAAAAACTAAAGGATTAAACTTAGTAGACGTTTAATTTGTTTAAATTTTTTAATATTTGAAATTAGATGAAAAAGTAAAAGAATATTTATTAAGTTCAATTTTAAATTTTAATAATTAGGATGTTTTTTGATTGAATTTCTTACATAAACTAAAAAAAATGTAATATATAGATTATATTATATTTATTAAATAAATTAAAAAAAAATTTGAATATTTAATGTTAAATTTAAAATTTGTTGAAATCTTGAAATAACTAAGAAATTGAAGCTTATTTTTTCTCAAATAATTCCTTATTTTAATCATGATAGTTATAATATAATATGACATATAAATTAGATTATATATTAAGTTGATAAGATTGTGATTTAACTATCTAATGGTTTAGGAAAATTCTCTCTTCTTGCTAATTGTTAATATTTTCATAGATATTTATTTGAATTTCTAAGCTTTTAGTGATCTGGGATGTTTTGAAATTTATTTTGAATATGTTTTTCCTATGTGTACAAGCATTAAGTGTGTTGCATCATACCTTACACTGCATTGGTGTCCATTCTGATTTAAAATATTTTTAGTAATTTGTTGGCGTATCAATTATTTCATTAAGACCATAATCCTTAGTTTTCACAATCAACTGTAGGCTCTGAACTTTTAGATCTTTTTTCCTCACACTTTGGGGCTGTTTGGTAGCATGATTTAGCCCAGATTTGAGGCATATTTTAGTGAAATATAGCCAAACGGCCTAAAATGCAAGACTAAATCTCACGGCAAATGAAAGCCGTCGTAGGCGGAAAATTCCTCCTTTTCGTGCTAAATCCCAGATTTCCAAAATCCTATTTTTTGCCGGCTCGTGAGGAAGAGTCCGCTCATTAAATCCGCTCTATAGCCAAACAGTCATACGAGATTTAATAGGATTTATCATGAAAGTTGCCAAACAGTTTTCCGGATTTAGGCCTCGCAGGATTTCCGAAATCGAGATTTAGAGAATTTACGAAATCCTACTTAAATCAAATCCTAAGTGCTACCAAACAACCCCCTTGCAAAAGTTACATATGGGGAATTGCAGTAGTCTCTTCTTCAAATTTTACCTTGCAAAGTGGATTTAGCATGTGGAGACAGGTGATCTGCTATGAATTCACAGGATGACAAGCCTATTGCTCTTAAAATGCTTGTCATTTGTCATATGCTTTTATTTTTGTGGAATGATTCTTACTATGAACTTTAACACGCTTGATCTTGCTGGTTGCTTGCTCGTGTTTTTTTTTTTTTGGTCCTTAGGAATTTTAATTTGATCTCGATTGATTTTGGTTTATTCTTATTATTGCTAGTTGGAGTGATCTGCTACCAATTCGTTCTTTTGTAAATTTCAACATAAAATTTTCTGAAGATATTATGGAAGGGATGCATTACATTTTCCTTTGCCTATTTGATGTAACTGCTTGCTTTTGCATGAATAAAAAAGTCTCATTATGTTTCAGTGCGTTGATCTAAAATTCAATGGCATATTCACAAAGTCTTTCTTGGTTAGGTGTCTCCAGTTCAGGATGGAAAGAAAGATGATCATGATGGGGAGGATGATGCTCATTGCTCCTCTAGTTCCTTCAGGCAGAGGTGTTGGCTATCTTCTTTCTGTGCATTTTTTTCCCAATATTTTTTAAGGTGAATATGATAGGAAACACTTGAAGATCTCAAGAATTTCCTAACGATATTTGGAAAACAGCGAGAATTCTCCATAACAATCCACACAAAATCAGGAAAATAGTAGATAATTTGTATTATTTGATGAAATAGAAACGGAAAATACTAAGATACAATTGATCCTCTATTCGGGATCAATTCGAGAGGAGTATCTATCTCTCCCAAATCTCTAGATGCATGCCGCTAGAGCCCAAAAACCTAAGAGATATCAAATTTCAGCCAAATTCAAGATGTCATAACCCTAGGGAAACAAACTATTTAATGCATACAATCAAAAAGAAAATCTCTAAACAGTCCCTACATTCAAATTTCCCTCCTAACTCCATCAAAAATCCTTCCTAAATTACTTTTATGGATCCTGCGACTTGTGCGGCTAGTACAGGAGGTGGAAGAGTTCCGTCTCCGTTACGTTGAGCCGGTCTCATATGGACCGGTCTAGCAGAATATTATTTCCTTTTCATTTAAGTTTGTATGTATAATACTAGTTGTTTTCCTTCTTTTTTTTTTCGGTTTTTACTGCACTAACCTTTTTTCTGATGCAATTTCTGTAATCAAACATCTATAATTATTTTATTTATTATGATTCACAGTCATCCTCCTCCTGCCTTTGGCTCATCTCCAAACCTAGAGGCTCTTGCTCTTGAAGCTAGCAAGCAGCACATGCACGATGGAGACAGTGCTTCAGCTGGCAGCCCACGCTTCTTTACTAGGTATCAAGTTTTGTGTGCCCTAAAATTATGAATTGTGATTCCTGAATTTTTGTAGAAGAAGTTGAGAAACTTTCCATCAAAGTTTGTTTGATTGTACTATAGCCTTTCTAAAACTCATCAAGCATGTTTTGACTTCTGTTTTCATGTGGATAAAACATGAGTAGTAAATCTACCTATAATTTAATATAATATGGGCATTTTTATAAAAATTAAAAACCTGCAGCATCATCCTTGCATTGTAACAAAATCGAGTAATTTATAAGATTTTTTTGGTGTGATTTCACATAACAATTTCAATTTTGTGTTATTTCATATTCTTAAGAGATATCTCCTTAATTTATAATTTCATCCTATCAACTTGTATTCCTAAAGAGAATACTTTTTTTTTTCGTGCAAGTTATTCATCACAATTATTTCTACTTAACTTTCATTTTTTCAACCATTGGCTAGTGTATTTGAGTGTGTTAATTCCTATTTTTAAGAATAAAGGTGATGTACAAGATTGTGCGAATTATAGAGGTATTAAGTTAATGTGTCATACTTTAAAACTATGGGAGCGAGTTTTGGAGCATAGGTTGCGGCGTGATACTAATGTTTCTCAAAATCAATTTGGATTCATGCCGGGTAGGTCGACTATGGAAGCCATACATTTATTAAGAGGTTTGATGGAGAAATATAGAGAAAATAAGGATGATCTACATATGATTTTTATTGATTTAGAAAAAGCATATGATAAAGTTCCAAGAGAAGTGCTATGGAGAGTTCTTGAAAAGAAAGGAGTCAATAATGCTTATATTCAAATCATTAAAGATATGTATGCAGGAGCTATTACTTGTGTTCAAACACAAGGTGGATTGACCAAGTATTTCCCTATTTCGGTTGGGTTACATCAAGGATCAGCCTTAAGCCCATATCTTTTTGCTTTAGTCATGGATGTTCTCACTAGACATTTGCAAGAGGATGTACCTTGGTGTATGCTTTTTGCTGATGATATTCTTCTTGTTGATAAGACTAGAGAGGGAGTTGAAGGTAAACTTGAATTATGGAGGTCAACTTTAGAGTCTAAAGGTTTTCGCTTGAGTAGATCTAAAACGGAATATATGGAGTGCAATTTTAGTAGTAATAGACCTAGTGAGGGGATTGTGACTTTGGGCGATCAAGTCATTAATAAGAGTACATGTTTTAGATATCTTGGATCTATTGTTCAGAGTGATGGTGAAATAGATGGGGATATTATCAGCAGAATTCAAGTTGGATGGTTGAAGTGGAGGAATGCTTCGGGCTTGTTATGTGATAGAAATGTACCCCTCAAACTTAAGGGAAAATTCTATAAGATGGTAGTGAGGCCTGCAATGCTTTATGGTGCCGAATGTTGGCCTTTAAAAGAGAAGCATAATACTAAGTTAAGTGTGGCAGAGATGAGGATGCTCAGGTGGATGAGTGGCTTTACCCTTAGAGATAGGATACGAAATGAGCATATACGTGAAAAGGTTGGAGTAGCTCCAGTAGAAGATAAGATTAGAGAAAGTCGCCTTAGATGGTTTGGTCACATAAAACGGCGGCCTTGCGATGACCCGGTTAGGAGAGTAGAGGTATTAGATTTGACTTATGTTAAGAAAGGTAGGGGTAGACCTAAAAAGACTTGGTTAGAAAATATTAGGAATGACCTTTCTTTATTAGATTTAAACGAGAATTTGACTTTTAATCGGACACAATGGAGAAAAAGGATTCATGTAGCCGACCCCACGTAGTGGGATAAAGGCTTGATGTTGTTGTTGTTGTTGTTGTTGGCTAGTGTATTTGATGAACACATGACCAAATAGTTGGTAACCATATAATTAGACTGCTATGTATACGAAAACTTCCTGCAAATAATTCCTACTGCATTATTTTTGTCGTTTGCATCGTACTTCTCTAGAGTAGAGGTATAGATGAGCTAGTAACTAATTATTATCCTGTGATCTTTTCAACGTGTACTAATTCATAGGGTATTTCAAAATCATTTTGGTTATAGCTGTTTTCATATTGGTTAAACCACTACTGTTAGAAGTTTGTTGAGTATTTTGTGGGGTGTGGGAGCAGTCCTAATTAAAAAGGTTGTAAAATATATACTTAGGTTGTTTTGGGTATGCATAATGTACAGTATATGCATCAATGAAGCAATGAAATAAAATTATTGTTAAAAGCATAGGATGGAAAAGGCAGCACCTAGTTAGAAGTTGCTAAAAAAAAAAAAAAAAGTAAGATGATAATCTGCACTTAACATGAATCTTTGGTACCGATGGATTCTTTAGGCAAACCCAGTTGTTTTGATAAGGACGATGATGATGCTGCTTTTGAATCTTGTGAAAGGGACTTAGCAAATTATGTCATCTGAAATTGAACTGAATAGTAGAACTGTTAACACTCACTTTTTGTATTGAGAATGAAAAAAGGACCAAATTCCTTGACTCGTTATGAAGGATCAAAATGATCCCCGACTATATCAAAGATCCATGCATGAGTAAAAATTAGTTTGGGAGGGAAATTTTGAATGAAAAGGGCTGTTTTGGTATTTTGTATGTCTCATTTATGGTTAATTAGGTGCTTAGGAGGGAATTGGGGGATTATCTTGAATTGGAATTGTAATTTGAGATCCAGGGTTTCTTGCTTTGTGCTCTTGGCGTTGCCGGAGATTTGGAGAGTCGTTATTCCTCTCGGATCGAAGAACAATTGTATCTTTGCTCTTTTATTCATCGTCTAGTGGAATACAAGTCTTGCTTTGAGTTTTCTTTCAGTTTTCCTCTGAAATTCTGCTATTTTACTGCTGTAAACAGCAGTTTGCTGTGTTTTCCTGCTGTGGACAGCAGTTCAGTCGCTGTTTGTTCTCTAATTTAGGTTAGGTTTGCTTGCGAACTCAAGTAGTACTTTAGGGTTACTTGCGAACTCAAGTATTTCCTATCAGCTTGGTTCTTTTAAAACTCAATAGATGATTCAAATGATTTATTATTAATTTTTGTGAGCTCCTAATATTTTGAAGCACTGTATAGAGATGTTTTTCATCCTTGATAATTTTGTGACAATGAATGTGTTGGATCATGTTATTTTTTGTTTTATCTCTAACTAATTTGTTTTATCTCTAACTAGGTAATGTTTTATCTCTAACTAATTTGTTTTCTAAAACTTTTCCTTGGAACATTATCCGGTAAAACTCTCGTCGGATATACGCGGAGAGGTCGAGGCTCCCAAAAGTCAAATTTTTGGAGTCCACGTGGGTTGTCTTTTCGGGCACAATATTTAGTAATTAGAAAATTTTGTGGTACACCTTTGATTTTTCTTGCTCATTAATACAGGTTTTTTTTAAGGCTAATCTTTGCTGCCCACATTGTAATTGCGACACCTACAGTATTTTTTTTCTTGATATACTTTTACTCATGTTCAATTACCAAAATGATCCTTAGATTATTTGTGTTAAATATTTTTATTTGTTGAAGATATTTGCTGAATCTTCTATTCCAATTGTATGCTATCTTGAACTCACTTTAATTTCCTAAGAAAAACACAGAGCCTTATATGGTATTTTGACTTTTATTAGTTGCCTTGAATGATTTTGCAGGCCTATGCATGAAATAACATTTTCAACGGATGACAAGCCAAAGCTTCTTAGTCAGGTACCAGTATAAGATCTGCGTCTTTCATGAATTCTTTATAATTTTGAAAAGGTTTTTCTTTATACATATATTGAAGGGGGGAGCCAAGATTAGTTTAAAGCTTCATTATATTCTTCAATTTTTTTTTTTCATGCCTGATTATGCTTCAAAGATGATTTAAATTCATATCAATAGAATGTGCTAGAGGACTAATGCTTTATTTGGGACAATTTTTTTACTACTTCTTGAAGCAGCTTTTTAGTACAAAAATTTTAATTTTGGTACTAGAAAACAGCTTTAAGAAGCAATAAAAAAGTCATCCCAAATGAAGCCTAAGCGGCATAAATCTAGGTATGAGAGAAGAAAGTGCTTGTGGAAATATGGGATGGAGAGAGAAAATTCAAAAGGAAATCTTGGAGGAAAAGAGAGAAATAGATAGGATCTAAGTGAGGGAAAATGAACCACCTGTGAATTCAACTCCGTATTCCAGTTTTACGCGTCTCATTAACTGATGATACTTTTTATAAATTTAAAAGCCTAAAAATAATATAGTTTTTAATGCTAATTATTATATGTGCTAATGAAGATGTTCCGAACATCATAAATTCTTGTTAGAAAAGCAAGTTGATGTTAGATGGAAAGAAATGAGATTAATAGTTCATAGTCCGCATGATAGCATAGTTGTAGTGATCATTGTGTCATAATTGAATGGTGACATGGACAGAGGATTGTAGCGAGCAATGGTTGTCCGAAGGCCAGGCGTTGTGCATGTCGGGCAAGTCCGAGTCGTGACCTTGAGTGGTTAATATGGCACCCATAGCGCAGTCTGACAATGGTCCAATTATTGATATCCCTTTTTTAAGGATGCCATTGGCGTGATCGTTCGTACCACTCATTCGAAAAGCATCCATATTTATATCCCTTCATTGTTATGCTCTTGAACCTTTCTGAAATTTCAGACTCTGATCAGAAACCCATTTCGCTTGGATTCAAAGTTATTTGTTGTCTGATCATCCTGGATGTTCAATATGGACATAATTTGTTAATCAGAGTTCAATGATCCAAATTTAAATTTGAAGTTTCCAACTGGGATATGCCTTGGATTGTCTGATCAAGCAAGTCTTAGGAATGCATTTCCCTCTTAAAATTTATTGAAAACTAAACATATAAAAATTAATTAAAAAATATATGCAAAATGTTCATAAAGAATCTTAATCACAAAATCATAACAAAACTCAATAGAATGACTCAACATTATAATCTCTTCATCAATAATCATTAACAAACATTAATAATTAAAAATTTCTTAAATAAATTAATTTTTATTAATACCTTAATAACTTAAGCCTCAAATAAATATAATATTCACTTTAGATTTATTTAAATTTATTTTTAAAAAATTTTAGATATAAAATTAATCCACAAACATAAAAAAAAGCTGGTTCCACCAACCAATCCTAACGTTCTTATAAAGGCAGGCGCCCGCTTTCATTTGCCTCTCTCTTCGCCTTTTTCCTTCCCGCAGTCGCATTCGTTTTCCGCTTCTACTTCCCTTTCTCTTTCCTCTCGGTTTCATCGCTTCGACGGAGAGAGTCATGGAGATCCCAGGCTATCTTCTCGGCGAAAGCGTGGGTTAGAAGTAGTGTTGAGGCGGCGATTGCAGAGGAGAATACGATAGTTGGCAGCAGCGGGGCGGGTCGCGCGGCGATAATTCCATGCAGCAGCAGCGCACAAGCTCGACGTGTTACAACGAAGGTCATCGCGTCCATGAGTCGGAAATTCGGAAAGCTGATCCTCATGACGACGATCTCTGGTCACTTCAAACCTTCTCCGCCGGTAAAAAAGCTCTCGAGAAGATCAATTCGTCTTGATGAGTAATCAAATGCTGATGATTAAGAAGCATAGATGTGGCATTAAAATTGTGTTTGGGTACTGCTTCATTTGATGCAATATGCATTGGAGGAACAGAGAGAGCGAGATGCTAAACGCAAGAAGGCTGCTGGAAGATGCCAACACCGGCGGAACAGAACCTTTGCGGTTCGTTTAGTCATAAAGATGAATGAGTTTCCCTTTTGAATTGGCTTAAGATTGATAATTTGCCTGTCTCATCGGGCTGCTGTGTTGATTACTTATCCTTTTAAGTTTTAGTTTGCTTCGGATAGTTGACATTAATAGTAAGCATCTTCCTTTATTTCCTCAATGCAAATTAATTTAGAAACCATTTCAAAAAACATAAAGTAATTCATGTGCACTAGAGATAAAAAGCATAGTTTATTTAAATTCATGCTTTTAGATATCTATGGTGTTTTAATAATTTGATTGCAGAGTTTCTGGTCTTAGTCAAATTATTCAACGCCCGTTGATTCTATCTAAGCCATTTTAGTTCCACATTATTTGAGCGGTATCATCATAGTTAATTTTTCAGGATAAATTAATAAAAAATTATGCGATTTTATTTATCACTTAAAAAACGAAAGATGTAAACTTAGTAACGTTATTGTTAAAATTTTTAATAAATAATGAAAAGTAAAAGAATATTTATTAAGTTCAATTTTAAATTAATAATAGAGTTTTGATTGAATTTTACAAACTAAAAAATGAAAATAATTATATATTAAAATTAAAATTAAAAAAATTGAAAAATTAATGTTAAATTAAATTGGTTTGAAATCTTGAAATAACTAAGAAATAAAGCTTATTCCAAAATCTATTAATCAATAGTATAAATAAAGAACTAAAATAATAATTTAAGTATAGATGGGATTAAACTAATCAAGGTTTAAAACTCTTCTTCTCTAATTATATTTCATAGAATTTAAATCTAACTTATGATCTGGGATTTTGAAATTATTGAATAGTTTTCATGTGTACAAGCATTAGTGGTTGATCATACCTTACACTGCAATGGTGTCCATCTGATTAAAAATTTTTATTGTGGCTACAATTATCATTAACCATATTCCTTGTTTTCCACATCAATGTAGGCTTAATATCTTTCCTCACTTTGGGCTGTGTTAGCAATTTTAGCCAATTTGGGCATTTTGAAATATACAACGGCCTAAATGACAGGACTACTCACGGCAATGAAAAGCCGTCGTAGCGGAAATTCCTCTTGTCGTCTACAATCCCAGATTTCAAAATTCCTATTTTTTGCCGCTGAGGAAGTCCGCTCATTAAATCCGCCATAGGCCAAGTCAGATCATAAGGATTTATTATAGATATGAAAGTTCCAAACGTTTCGCGATTAGCCTCGCAGATTTCGAATCAGAGTTAAGAATACAATCCGACTAAATCATATCCTAGTTCTCAACACAACCCTTGCAAAGATTATTATGGATTACATGTCTCTTCTTCAAATACCTTGCAAAAGTGGATAGCTGTGGAACAGGTGATCTGCTATGAATCACAGATGACAAGCATTGCTTAAATGTGCATTATGTTTTATTTGGAATGATTCTTACATGAACTTAAACACCTTATTTGCTGTGCTTGCTCGTCGTTTTTTTTTTTCTTAGGAATTAACTTATCTCTGATGTTTATCTTTATGTGTGATTATCGC